TCCCACATAAAAAGAGAGCAAAAGGATCTGAATTGCTGATCAGCAATTGCTCTCCTTTTTAATTTACATTTTGTTGACGTTATATCTCTTAAATTGCATTTTATATGGCACTCATTCATAATTTAAGTTTAAATAATTTGTGACTTCACTTGAATCACTTAAAATAATTCTGTATTTGAATACTTTTTCAGCTATGGCACTTTTATTTGTTCTACATTTTACTAGCTTGATAAAAGACAGTGTGTCTAATTCGTTGCAACAATCCAACAACTCATTTTGTCAATTGAACAACAGTGAAGCTTCCATCAAAATTTTCCCATTTAGCTTGCACAGGTCCACAAATATCAATGGTACAGTAAAGAAAGGCCAACTTAACGTTTATTGTGCAAATTTTGAACAATCAAATGTTGTAAGCATTTCTTGTAGGAAAATTCACAATTCATTGAGAAATTCTGAAACTTATAAATTCGCAAGTAAATTAAAATTAATACATAATGAGTGACATACCATTGTATTATTGAAAATCATTCATTTTGTGGAAACAAATGTTATTGTTATGTTTCAGCAATGGCACATATACATAATAGCACCAGATAATGGTAATCAATATTTATTTTGAGAAATTAATCATTCTAAAATTTTCTCGTTTAGTTGGATTTGTTACGAATTCGTGTACGCTTACATGATATCAACAGTTCTGTGGATAGCAGTAAATTAATGTTACAAATAACCCGCTATCATCCAATTGATGCGATATCATTTGCATTACCAACTAAGTAAGTAAGTTCCATATATCACCTTCTCATTGAACCTTTGAGGCGAATCATAATCACATTTGCCTATCGAATTTTCACAAACCTGGATTGTTTTGCTTGTTGAACGAACATTTTCAAGTATGACATAAGCAATCGATAAACATATAAACAAACATATAACATTGCGGAAATGCTGCTTATAGCTGTTGTAAGAGTTTCTTGCGACGTTTTTTCTTTTCTACACTTCAGGAAATTAAATATTTTCCAATGTCCAAATAAATTTAGCATGAAAGAACTGATCAAATCTTTTTCTGTAGGTCGTATTTTGCGATTTATATTTTTATCATTTTCATAGGATTTTTAGTGGATGAGAAATGAATTCGTAGGGATCATTGATATAAATCAATAGATGACACTTTATTTATTTAGTTTCATGTTACTGATAATATTTAATATTTGAAAATTTTTGATTTTTGTAGAAATGGTGACATGGAAGACGGCGTAATGTTACCAGGTTTGGATGTGGAAACTGCGGAACCACTCTTTGGTAATAGATCTATTTATCTGATCATTTTGGTGGTAGCAAATTCAGACAAAATTTTAGCATACAGCATCTCTGTCAAAATTTATGATCGATCTCAGTATAACATCATGTATATCGTTTTTATTATTTCAATTTTTTTCAAAATTTTGACACTTTTTTCTTTTTAAATCAGCAATTGTTCATATAATGGCTTTTAATTGAATTTGAAAATAAAATCTTCAAAAATGCAGATAATAGTCATCTGATACGATCACTTGTTCACTTAAATCTACACTACAATGCATTTTTTATCGTAAAACAGAAAAAATTTCTGTTTCCGTTTTTCCATTTCCATTTCTCCTGAAAAAGTATTTTACATTTTTTTCGCATTTCAAAAATTGTTCTGACTATCAAAATGGGTAATTTTTAGTAAAGTATAAATCAACTTTATTGTAACATTTGATTTCTTTACTGTTTTGCAGCTTGCGTGCGCCAAAATTCAGCCGTCCTCTTTTGAATCAAAAGATCTCAGCAATGATGCCAATCGCATTCAGAGTTCATATTTCTGATCCTTCTCTCCGAATCCTTAAAATAACCGTGAAAAGTGACAACAATTTTTGCGCTTTTCTGATAGTTCGAAACTACTCAGTAGGTTTTTATACTTTCTCGATTTAAGCATCTAACTTATGGTAATATTTCTTACAACTAAGTTTTGGTATAGGCAGCAAAACTTACATTTTCAAGAAAAAAGCTGTTGATATATGTTCGTTGTAAATCTTAATCTATTTATTTTACTGTTTAAGATTTGAATCTTCTAGTAATAATTGGTAGCATAGGGCAATGACCGTTTTTAAAGATACTTATGTGTGGTTCATTTGCAGACTATACTCCTGCATTCAGGGATGCTTACTCTAAATTCCTTCATGCAGGTAACATTCACCCGAAAAGCATCCTTTATGGTATTGGCAAATTCACCACTTCATGTTTTCGTGATGATGATGAATGATCGTGCATGTGGTACATTTGCTCCTACTCGTGTGTTTGCATTCTGCATTTCATAGCGGATGTAGGATATTGAAACATGTGAAATGCTAGCATCCTTTATAAAGCAGTGCAGATTACTGCGCGCAGTTATTTTACTAAAAATGGTTGTTGTAACTATCAAAATGTAATCATTATTATAAATGAGAGAGGACTTCTAATAAATAGATGCTTTTGCAAATTTAAACCACTTTTGAAAAAATTAGACTTAAATTTCAATCTGATTACAAAACAGAATGGTAATATAGTGTATTTTATTTAAGTATTTCGAAATTTATAAAGAATTTAGGGGAACATAACCGCGTGAAGAAATTCGACATCGAGTTTAGTAGTCTTCAGTCAACTTCATCATATCCCTTGGTAATGATGACGATGTTTTATTTGACATTATCTATCATCTTCCTTGCAAATGATCAACTTATGCCACCTCTTCCTACCAAGTAAATACGTTATTATATGCGATACTGACATTTAATATTTTTTTTTATTGCAATAATACCCTACAATATGCAAAGGAGTTTTGTAGGAATTTTAAAACAAGTATATTATTAGCTGCTTATTTTAATTTTTGAGTTTAGTTCTTACATGTAACATTTGCATGCACTATTTTTTTTCAGTCAAAGAGAAACCGATATACCGTTGATCACTCTGTCAGATGAAAGCAATTCAGGAACACCTTCAAGTTCCACATATCAGGTTAATTTTATTCAACTCTTGCCTAAGAATGTAGCAGGATGCTATTATTAGTACATAGTGTGCGCCTGTAAATGAAGTTGATGACTGATATGAAATGATTATAAGTCAAAAATAATCATATTGTTGTTTAAATAATGGTTTTTATGGTACTTGCTGCAATATTTAAACTTGTTTCATGAGGATTTTTCCAGGAAATTAGACGTGTGAACGATTCACATAATATTCTTGTGGATATTCAGATGGAAAAAGATGAGCAGGAATTTCTAAAAAGTGCTATTTTACAGCATTTTTATATTTTTTATTTCTTTACATCCTCGAATTTTATTGTTTTTGATTTGAAGGCAGTAAAACTTCTTAATTATATTAGCGAAATTTGACAATTTTAATTGTGTCTTCGATATTATGTATTGTATATTAAATAATCATATACATTACTGGTCGAAAAAAGAGTAATCAAACGACAATTTGTAGGCACCGCATGGTTGCGAACTACTGAACAACGTACTATCGGCACCGATAGTAATGAAATCATTATGCAAACATTTGAAGTGAATTTTTGATAAGACTAAAATCTTTTCAAATTAGTTATATAAAGTTTTTGTTTCTGTAAATGCTCTTGATATTAACTTGAAAAAGGAGGGACGAATATAAAGAAACAGATAATTAAAGCTCTGGTAAAAGAATGTTACAATAATTTATTGTTGTTCTTGTACTGATTTTCTTTTTCTTCCTGACATTTACGACGTTTTTTCCGCCTCAAAATTTTCCTTTAATTCTATTTTTAATATTAATATTTTCTATTGCATTGTAGTTAAACTGGAATATCTATGTGCCTTATTTTGCTTCCGTGCTAATTGTGCTCCAATATTTTTATACATTATTATTGGTGAGTATACTAAGTAACTACATATTTTCAGTCATCAAAGCTTTTGCCTCGATGATTAAAACCAAACTTGCTTGTCGAACGTTTAACCATATAATATTATTTATCTAATTAATAATAAATTCGATATTAATTGTATTTGTTTAGATTCATAAATCAAATTTTAGGATCAACTGACACTGATGAATAATAATTTGGATACTTGCTATTACAATATGGAATGTTCGATTGTATTAGGACCATTTCAGGCATTTAATCATGTATATAGTAATGTTGGATATTTTTTACTCGGCTTCCTTTTCTTCATTTTGATCGGCCGTCGGTAGGTGTGCATAACTATTCAAAATTTAACCTCGAAACCATCATATAAAGTTGTGATTTAACTTGAATTTTTTTTCTTCCGGCATGTCTCTCATCTCTTTATATTTCAATCAGCAGATCTAATAAATTAATACAAAAAGCAAATCGAAGCGAGAATAATCTTTTTAGGTTTCAGAAGACCAACGCACTAATAATTGGCAAATTTCATAATAATTATGTCTTTAAACTGTCACCTTCAATTTACGTTGATGAGTAAATGAAGATAAGTTCATTTTGAGCATATTTATCACAATAGATAAATATCGTTTTCTTGCAGTTATAAGCACTGGAAATATTGCAATTGTATTGGGTATAATTATTGCCCAAACATTTTTCTTAATATTGGTATGGTGATGTGTTTAGAGGCCTTTGCTAGTGCGTTCTATCATATTTGCCCTAATCCTCGAATTTTTCACAATGGTAATTGTTTCTTACTCTTTCGTTTTTTTATTCCAGTTCAACAAATTTCATATATTGCTATGCAATTTGCTGGGAGTTGTTTTCTTGAAAAGCATTTCCCTGATATGATATAGATGGTGAATTGCATTAACTTTCTAACTTGAAATCAAAAAAAGAGTTATGCAAATTGGATGTCACTAAATGTGGTCGGGTCTTACTAAATATCGCGTATCATTAAATGTAGTCGAGTTCACTAAAAATAGTTTTGACAGCTATTTACAGATACCTTATTTGTCGAAGTAGCTTTGGTTCTTCTAATGGTACGACTCTATTTTGTTCGTCGTGGCGGTGTTACACTAAGTGGAATCTTCCAATCAATTATCTTTGCCACTTCTTTCCATTTCATTGGCAATATAAGTTTTAATAAATTTTCATCACTAACAATATCTTGAAATTCTCAAAGCTTTTTTGCTCTTCTTCTGTCCGTTCTGTTTTTTTGCATCTTACTGAATTTCTATTTGAAATTGAATTTTGATACGGTGCCATCCTTTTGTTTATGCCAAAAATATTCTCTTTGTTTAAGATGATATTTATCGTACGATTTCTTTACTACAAATATTGTTTATCTTTCAAAATAGAATTATTGCTTATTGAAAATATACGAAGTCATATCTTCGCTTCGTCAATATTTGAAGGAATTTGATGATCTTTTCATATAGCAGGGAATGAAGAAATGATTGGATACAAAAGTATCACTTAACTTGTAGTAATTTTACCTCGATATGTTTCAGATCCTAAAAGATAACTTCTGTATATTGGGAGTTATCCTTACATTAGGATTGCTATTGTTGGTCGCTTTTCAGTGTCATTTATTATTTGGCAATCAGTCGTCTGTTGGTAATATTTGTTACTTATTGAAGTAATTGGCTTAGTTAAGTCACTGCTTCTTTTTGTCATATGAGTTATGCTTTCTTCTACTTGAATTATGTTTTCATAAACTATTCCAGCTAGAGATTGGAGAAAGTGGTTGAGGTGCTGCTGGCATGCAGAAAATGAAAGGGACAAAAGTTTGATATTGAAAAAGTAAACTTTTTCATTCCTAATTGCTAATTAACTTAATTTCTAGATTAGTTACGCAGAGCTATATTAATTTCTTTTTATATAATCACGCTAATTTAGCGTAAGCTGAATTGAATAAAATTGTTGCATGATTCTTAAAAGCAGTTTTTCGCATTTGCTAGAAGTAAGTTTAACATCGTATAATTGAATATTTCTTGTGTTCTTTCTGTGAAGAGGTATATTTCAATTGCAAGAAATCTTTTTGCAGGAGGTTGCTGGTTTGCATTACCGTATGCAATATTGCATTAGCATTACTATTCGAAACAGGTTTGCTGCAGACATCATGCATTACGCTTCATCTTATAGTGCTTAATACTGTTGGCTACTTTATTTACTACATTTCTTGCAAGGTCAAACTGAATTTTAACAACATTTCATACTAAATTTAATTCTCACGAATAATTATTCTCTATCTATTCCGTTTTAAGTTTTTTGCTGTGGAATTTTATGAACTTTCAGCTTGAAAGAAATATGCAAAACAGGGTCGAAATTTAGAAGTGTCGAAATTTACTTCTTCGTGAAGTAAATATCGACACTTCTGTTAATGCTTTCAGCATCATGAAATAACAAGATTTTGTCAATGATTATATGAGTATATTTCCTCTTGATTGAATGTATAACCTTTGAAAAATATAAATAAATTGCAAAAAAGCCCAATAATTTTTTCCAGAAAGATGAAAATCAAATTACTTTTCCATTGCTCGAAAGATTACCAACATTTAATATTCTATAATTACTAAAGCAAGGCATTTACAATTGCTAATTACACAATTGATTTTGAAAAAAAGCGAGAAGCTTAATATCAAACTGTCGCTATGGTTAGGTTCCATCCTGCCCGTAAAATTTCAAATTGTATCAATTAGCAACTAAATGAATCATTTAATTTATTAAAATTCTTCTAAATGAAGACGATCATTGAGTTCATTATTCTCATATCTAGCAAGTTATTTCCAAAAGCATTGGATACTCCCCACTCACTTAGTTTTGTTCATTAATATAATACTTAAAATTTCTATAAGCTCGTTGTTCACCGCCATTTCAGATTATTAGTGGTGAAACAATCCTAATACGTGCTTCTATTTATGCTATTGCTTCATTTCTACTTTGGATTGCTGCTTTTTATTTTTTCAGTCGTGGCAAGAATTGGACTGTAAGTGAACCATTTCAATTTACCTGCATTTCACTAACATCCATCTTATGTATTTTTCCAAACAATATTTGGAGCTATCAAAAAATCATAATAAAGAAAAGAGATTTGTGGAAGAAATTGAATTCAATAGTTAAGATCACCACAAGCATAATTATATATTTGCAGTCATCTCAGAAAAAGTTTCATTTAAAAATTTGAAAAGAAAATGAAATGATTTTGCAATCCGTTTTGATGATATCTGCATCTTTAATTCTTCGTCGTGAATCTTTTCTGTTCTGTAATGATTTATATCTTAAATTTATAAACTTTTGAAAGTCAACTGATCTTTTGAAACTTTTGAAAGGGAGGGAATCGAACTGAGGCTGAAGAGTGCATACTATTCCAATACTTCGACTATCACGATATTTGGCATTTTATTTCTTCACTGGCATCATTCTTTTCATTAATTGCCGTTGCCATACTTGATGACGACGTCATGATATCCGAATTCGGCCGACGACCAATTTCCATCTTTTAAATTTTTCTTTGCTTAGAAATTATTTTGTGATTCCATGTTCACTCCTCAGTTTTGCATACTTTTATACTTACCTTTCCACTTTTTTCTCTTGTATTGCTTTTGGCTTTCTTATTGTTATCCTTGTTGATTTATTCGTGATTATACGTTTATTTCTATCAAATTATCTTTAGGTATTATAACTATGCCAATTCTCTAGAAAGTTGAGAGCATTCATTAGATTTACGATGTAAAACTGATCATACTAATTGCTTTTAAGTCCATTCACGATGTAAAACTGATCATACTAATTGCTTTTAAGTCTATTTACAATGTATATAGTAGGATTTCGCTGCAACCGAAGAAGTAGCTGAGAAATACAATTTATGTTGTTTACTACTACATCAAAAAATGAAACTTTAATGAGGCCTTAGCTTAATTCTCTTATATGTGATGAAGATTCGTTAGACATTGTGCTATCTCTGTTACAGTGCAAAATGTTATCGACTTTACAAACGGGACTTCCTAAATTTTGAAACTTTAGGTTTTGATTTTACGATGATCACTCAATGAAAGCAATAAAATATTTCCAGCTGTAATGAGTAATAGATCTACCTAAGAAGAAATCACTTTGGTGACTTCGGCTGCATTTAGCGACTTCTATTATTGTTTCAATGTATGTTCGTATTCTTATCAATTAACAGGAGAACAGAAAGCCTAAAACGAGCAGACGGAATTTCTTTGACAAATTTTCTTAACATTTTAATAGTAGGATCTCTCAGCTATTCATATATTTGCCATTGAGTAACTGTCTCACTCATTTTCTAGTTTATTGCCCTATTTTTTTGTATAATGACAGTAATAAAATATTCTCGTTTCTTTTTTTGTAAAAAAAGGGGAATCAATCACTACAACTTGTCATTAACTACACAGAAAACTTGTATTCCATGCAGAAACAGAAATATAAGACAGAGAGATGAAGCATTAGTTAAATATTACATTGAAATGTCGCTTTCATAAATAATTATAGGTGGCGAGAAAAAAAATGCATGGAACTAGCCGGAATTCATTTCTCTGGAAAATTGCATTGACCTTCTTTTACAAATGGATATAAATTGAATAGTAAGAGACGTCTCACCAAGCGTCCAGCAGTATTCGAAAGCTTCTCTTCCCTCTCCTCTCAAATATTCCGCCGAAAGAAACGAAAATGTTCGATTTGACCACTTTCGCCTTGTATTTCATTATTTTATTGCAATATGCGTTATGCTCCGAATGGATTCATCACGAACCTGCTCGTGAGTGGGACATCGGTAGGTCACCTGATAGTTAATTGGACGAGATGAATTAGATTGAATATTTCAATTGAATAGGACGATGGATTGCTGTTGACTTTAAAGCCTATTATTCCAATATATTTTCACCGTTCAATTCTGATCTCAGTAGTAATGAGCAAGGATATGTGTGCATTATGCAACAGATATCAAATGAATATCAAATGAACTTCCGAGTCTTCATTTAGAATTATATCCATACAATTTCAAAAATTTGCCGAATGTTTAGGAGAACATTGGGATAAAGATGGCACTGCTTGGGGCGGTTTTAGCGCATTAAAAAGTGGGAAAGCTGGCGCAAATGAGTACAACGACAAAGGACACGGCTATGGTAATAGAGATCATGACGGTTTTGCATATGGAAGTAAGGGCGCCGCAGATGGATTTTCCGAATTTGCAAAACATATTGCCGATGGACATGTTGCCGATGCACTGGAAGCTGGAGAACATGCACTTTCTGGTGAGAAAGATGCCTAAATCTTGAAGATGTCTAAAAAAATTTAATTGCGGACTTTCATCTCAACAATGAACTGAAAGTATTGATGGAAGGCTATGTAAGATTTCAAGCTTCAAGAATTTTCGGTAAATATCTCCTTCTTCATTTAAGGAGCCGAAGGACACAAAAAATACTCGTACTTTACGCAAGGATCAGGGCCACACGGATTTTACTCTAAAGGATATTGGGGAACCAACGGTGAGCGAACATCCGATCTAAATTGTAGAACTATAGCGACATATAAACTTCAATTTAATTAAAAAACTTAACTCAAATTAAACAAAAAATTAGAAATCCAAATATGAAAATGAAAATTAAACCCATTTTTTCGTTCATAGTTTAAGAACATTCGAGAAGTTTGATGATTTTAAAGAATGAATGACTTTAATTTCAGATTGAAAGTGCCTTTTAGGTTATGATCATGCGGCAGCGAAAGAAGCCCACGTAAAAGATGCTAATCGTGATGGATTTAAGGAAGGTTATGAACATGCTGATGCTGATCGCGGTTTGGCACATTCTGCTTGGGACAAAGTTGCACACGGCAAAAGTTATGGTGGACATGCCCATAATCACGGTGTCTGGAAGCAGGGTGCCAAGGAATGGGATAACAGCAAACATGGGGACGGATGGAAAGATTCCAGTGATGGGCATCTTCATGATCACTACCATGGTGGCGGAAATTGGGACTAAATCCAGAAACGCTGGCATAAAGTTTAGATCTATTAATTCCAATTCACATATAGTCTCATTTAAATTCAGATTTCTCACATATGTTTTGTTTTGTTGGATATGACATATACTGCTGCAGTTAAAAAAGTGATAAAAGCATCTAATTGTATTCGGTATGCTACATGAACGATATGCTCATGAACGTAGGCTGCATGAACAAACAAATGTAACGATTTAACAAACAACCAAAATAAGGAGAATTTAGATGTGAAGAAATTTAGATAGATGAATCCATAAGAGAAATACACAGTATGTCACAGATTTGGGATACTAATGATAATGTTGCAGATCTGATGTAAATATAATAAAAGGAGAGCTATCAAATTAATGTCAGTCAGTTTTCTTTAAATTCACTAAATTTTTGAGAAATCAATTGATAGCTTTTTTTCCTTTACAAATTAAGTTATCATTCGAAGAAAATTGATGTCCCTTACTTCACAAACTATCAAACAAGAGCCACAATTACTCTCAAGAAAAATAATTCCCATTGGGGTATCAATGACAAAAGCTGGCTCCTTTTAGTGTATCATGACTTTATGGGCCGTGATTTGACGGCCGTTTCACAAAAGGTAACTTTGGAATGCATAGCATGTCTACAATTGGCAAGTTAGCGTGGTATGTTATTTTATGTCTGATTCTGTTTGACAGATAGAACTCAAGGCCTTGATTTAACTCAATGCCATTACTTCTTCATTAATGCAATTTTTCGACCTTTTTGTGAATTCAAGTGTGTTTTTGTGGTACATTAAGCTGAGGAATGTATTGTAATATTCGCTAGGAATTCTAAAGCGCGATTTATTAATTGCCTATAAATTTTGTTCATATTTTGAGGTAGGATGTCACTGTGATAGTTTGCATGAGGAATGACAAAACTTTACAAAATGATGTCAGCAATGATAACATTATCATTGATGATTTGGATTCATTTATCGCTGGGAGCAGATCTAGACACATGGATGGATGTATCGTTTCGCATTAGTAAGCTGAATTTTATTTGGTCTAAAGCCATACATCATCTTACCGATAAAGCAATGATCAAACGTTTGAAGGTAAGCAGTAGGCCTGATAAAAAAATGTTTAAAAGGAAGGAACTGTTAACATCGGCAGAGTCAAAGCTAAAACTCTTTATTTAGCATTTATGAGAATCAAATTTTTATTTTTTGTTTTTTCCTTCATTTTCAGGATGAATTGAATAAATTCGATTCGCTTTATTTATCGGCGAAAGCAAGAAGTATAAAAAATGAGAAGTTAGTTTTGGAAGAAGTGGATAACAAGCTGGTACAGCTTCTTGAGAAGTATGGTTTGGAATCAGCAGTGAATGCTTATATGAAGGTGGATAAATAACTTGAAAATAGTTTGCTTTGGAAGACATGCACAGTTCTATGGTGTGTATCATGTGCATCATTTTGCTTATTTCAATTTTTGGATTTCTTTTATGATGCAATTGAGATGCTGTAATAGAAAGCGAATCACTTTTGTTATTGAAAAGACTAAATTTTTTCTTGTGCCGATACTATGTCGAAGAAAACACTGTGTGTTTTAGAAATATAAATGGCGGAACGAAGAACAAGAAGAAAACATTGTTCTCCCGTCAGAGAAGTTTAAAGATTCGAAGCTGCAAAAACTTTGGCATGCTGCGCAAAATTCACGTTTTTCTAAGACTGCATTGAAAAGTAGAGTTCCTTGTGTGTCATGTGTGTATAGCAGTCATCCTAAAGCATACTTGTCAAAATAATAAAATAAGGGATTTTAGCTGTTTGAAGTAGATTAATAACTTGAATTTACTGTCTACCTCCATTTTTTGAACTTTTTTTTCGTAACTGGTCTATATAAATAAACTCTTTCAGTTCTTCACAAAGAACTCAAAGACCATGAACAAAAGATGGAGTTGTATGAGCAGAAAGTACAGTTGTTCAATGAGTTCGATGATAATACTTTAATTGAAAATCCTTTCGAAGTGAGCGACAAGTTAAATCGTGAACTGAAAGTGCATCATAATGACATTATGGATTCGTATGACAAATTGCATCAAAAAGTTGCACTAGTATCGCAAAAAATATTCAGCAATGAAAAAGTGGAGAATTTGTGGCATTTGGTTGGTATTGGAAAATTTTCTTAGTTTGGTTCTTTCAATTTTTATAAATGCTGATCGAGATTATTGATGATGACAACTGTCATTGTATGAAATGCAGAACACTTTGAGGTGGCAAGTTTTATTTCATATTTTAGTGCTTTTTTAACTGTGCGTTGTAAAATATCTCCATATTCATGAAGCTAGCAGGAGAGTCATCTCTGAGATTTGTTCTTATAAGTCGAAACAAACTGATTAAAAATAAGGAATGACAGTATATCGCAGTAATACTCATTAAACTCCTGCATCGGTTCCTTTCATTTTTGGCTTTGAAGATTCATTGCTATAGGAGTTTTTGCGAATCCGAACGATGATTTTTTAATTTAGGCATTACAAA